CCGATGGCCGGAGACCTGTTTGTCTCTCTTATGTCGTTTCTTTAACTCCGCTGCCCACAGAGCGCTCACCTGCGTTCCTCCCACAGGGACCGGGATGGGAGCCAGATCAACTACATGTACGCTCAGTACGTCACCAGCACCATGGAGGCGCTCAACATCCCCGACGTCAGCAAGGACAGCAGATTCCCCTGGGCGGTGAGTAGCCGGTGTGGGGCTCGGAATGCGGGCGGCCTTCCCTGACCAGATGCCCTTAGCACCTGCCGGGAGCTGGGCAGCGATGCTTGAGTACTTACCTGTGTACTTTCACCCGTTTTTAAATAATTCATTGGCACGTGAGATGATTGCTCTATTGCCCACTTCATGTCAGTGATGGCCCCAAGACAGGCTTGCTAGCGTTCTTGAGTTTATCCTCAAAAGGTAAGTTTTCCGTGGCTTGAAGTGACGTAGCTGGTGACCCACCACAGGGAGCAGCTCCATGGAGAATGAATATCTGTTTTCCCTGACAACAAGGCGGCAAAGACCCGTTTCTCAGCCATGGGAAACTTTGAATTCTGGTATTTTCTCTCCTTTTACTTCAGAGAAGCATTGCATGTGGAGGCAGCTGCCTTGCTGTTGTTGTTTCATATCTAGGAGGCCTCTTAGAAGCCAGCAGTATGGGCAGTGGACACAGTGGTCATGCGTCCACAGAGGGCCAGTGTGTAACACATGGTGTCGGGGGGGAGGGTTGACTCTTCTGGATTTGGCTCCTCTTGTTAGGCTACCAGAAACGCCTCCTCCAGGTACAGTGCATGCTAGTACTGTAAGCTGCTGGGAACGTTTAAAATGGGAAAAAAGAAATGTAGGATATATACTCACCCGATTGATGTTTTTAGAGAGAGAGGAAGGGAGAGGGTTGGGGGAGAGGGAGAGAGAGAAACATCGGTGTGAGAGAGACACATCGATTGGTTGCCTTCCGCATGCACCCCTATTGAGCCTGCAACCGAACCACATGCCCTTGAATAGGAATCAAACCTGTGACCCTTTGGTCCATGGGCTGGCACTCTAACCACTGAGCCAAACCAACCAGGGCTAGGTTATTTGTATTTTTAATAATATACAAACTAATTGCTTTCTATTGCATTCATGTGAATGCCACTGTACTTCGTATATTTTCTGCACTCTTATCACTCCATCTAATAAAAGATGACTATGTTAGTGGGTTCAGATGTCCAATGTAGTTTACATAACAGCATCTAATGGGAAAATCACTCTTTTTGTAATTTTTTGCTGTTGTTTTGTTTTGTTTAGAATGAAAACATGGGGAACGTAAGCCAGCAGGGCATTCGAAGTTTGCTTTGTACGCCTATAAAAAATGGAAAGAAGAATAAAGTGATAGGTAAGTAAGCTTTTCATTAACCTCCACGCTGCCCTTACTAAAGAAAAAAAAATAATGTATTCCCAGAAATTTCTGTCTTTCAAGTGTAAATTTAAAGAATAAAATGTGTAAAAGATAAAAATTGAAATGATAAAAGGATGTTCAACTAACCACAGGCATTTGGTGCATGTCTTATTAACTATGATGTACTTTCTGTAATTATTGTAATCCTGTTTTAACAGCGTTTTTGTTTAAGGGTGATGTGTTGAGAGTTAGTAGACTGAGAAACATCGAGTTGATCATGTGCCTTGTTTTAGAGTCTCATTTCTTGGTTTCTGTTTTTTCTTTCTTAAACATGTGGTTTAGATTGTAGGTTGTACTGATTCATTCATCAGAAGTATCTAGCAAGCTCCCTACTGCTCTAGGCTCTGGGGTGAAACAGTCAACAAGTGAGCAAAAAAATTTAAAAATGCCAGAGGGAACCATTAGACCTCTCTTGGCGTACAGTTTGTGTCCCCACTTGAGAACAGAGTCTGCAGTAAGCAGATGCTGTTTTTGGAGAGGAAAATTCCCTGTAAATTAAATGGATTTAAAAATG